ATTTTTGTCCAGAAGGATCTTCTTTATTGAAAACATTTGTTTTAATATTGGATTCGAACGGTAAAAAGGTTTGTAATAAATACCAGCTGACAAATGGATTTCGTGTACAAGTAAAGGTAAGACCATAAACTTTTATTATTTCTAGTTAGAAATAAGCTCAATTGGAATAAATTTTAACCTCAAATTAAATATGGGTCACGTTTGTGTGAAGAATGCTGATATGAGATATAAAACACAACGCATTGTCTGTTAACAGACAATTTGTATTTGTAAATCTGACTGTAAAAGAGTTAGTGCCTCACCAGCTGTCAACCTCACCACACGTCACTGGTGTAAACACACTGAGGTTATAGAGCGTACTGATCGTTGACCTGTCCTCAGACCTGCACGGCTTCCCCAGACTCCTTGTCAAGCAGACACATGAGATGATGTGATGCTCACTGGATTCAGATGACGTTTCACTGGGGGTTAAACTCCAGAGGTCACTCCTTTTCATGAATGTGCTGCATCTCGCTGCAGGAGTCAGATTTTCACCCACACAGGCCTCTGAAGTGGAAACACCTCTGGACGCTGCAGTGAAGAGAAGCGTATGAAATGGGAGACAGACTGATTGCATCTTAGGTGCGAGTTTGCTACAGTATAAAATACGCAGGCTACTATTCCTGTTTTTGTGAGGGACGTGTCATAGTTAAATAATGAAGTAAAGGTGTGTGGGCAATTTCCAATTTTGACTGTGCAGTAAACACAGTGTTTGTTTTGGGCTATGGCTTTATAAAGCATTTTATTAAAACAGCAAGTTGCTGCTCAACAGAATGAGTGGACTGATACAATCTGGAGATTTACAAGAGTGAAATACACACATTTTACAGTAGTGAACTCTGTAACAGCATTGACGGAGCCAAGGGGTGCGCAGCGGTGGCATTGGCCCCCGGTGCCACCGCTGCCAGAGTCTGAATGTGATGCTTGTCAGTGTTAATGAATGACAACTGAAAAACAATGACGGGAGGAAAATGAGGAGCATAGCCAAAGTTAGCTAAAGAAAGCTGTGTGTCTCATTTTTACAAAAAAAATAAACAATTTAATTCTTAATAATGTATGGCTTATTATTTAATAGAGCTCTAATTTACTTTGTACATGTATTTCAAATGCACCACCCCTCTCTGAGCTTGGCCACCCTGTCCAAAATTTTTTAAACGTACCCCCGTGTAACAAATCTCCCATATGTAAATTTGTCCAATACTGTCCAATTTAGGTATGTAATTTAAATCCACATTTTCCACTTCCTGTGGTTTGAGATGGGAAAATGCAGTTTAGCAGGTGGCCTGTATTAGCAGGTTTACGACAGTCTTAGGCTCCTCAGTTCAAATGGTCTTTCACCTCCTTACTGATGCTCCACCCTCCCTGTGTTACGTCCTGCCCTACATCCTCTTTCAACAGTGAATCCGTCACATCAGTCTCACATCAGTCTGAGTAAAACAACCTCCTGGTTAATATTGTTAATGTTACTAAATAAAGCATCTGTGTTGCTGTGTGATTGTGACAGTGAAGTGTTGCTCACTGATGTCTGACAGCTCAATCTGTTGATGTTTGCTCAGTAATGACAACATGACCCCCACCACCACCACCGCTGTCACAGTGTACAGCTGTGGCATGTGGACGTCCATGCATTAGAGTAATTACACAAACACTGGCTGCTGTCATTCATTTGACTTTAGCGGACCCTTGGCATGTTATCTGTAGATTCAAAGCCTTTAATCACCTCTAAGTCCATTGAACGGCCCAGTAAAGGTCTTTGGGAGCTTAAATAGCACAGCCAGCGCACTTTCACACAGACTACACATCAGCTCTGAGCTATTTTTAACTAAGTTGTGGATAATTACCATTTGTTGGACATTATTGGTCCCATTGGTTATCTCAATGACTGAGCCATTATTAGTGATGGTGCAGGCCCATTTGTTTCTTCATTAAACTTCAGTGGGTTTGTTTAGGCTACGCATGCTAAATCTGTTCACACTCATGATACATTTAATCTCATTAGGTCCAATGGAGACCACTGCTGTGACACCGATTGACTAAGAGTCAATACTCGAATTAGGAAAAATGAAACTACACGTTTCCTCACTTTATTAAAATCTATCCATGCAGATACTTTGGGTTTTATTGTCCAGGTTGTGAGGTAGCTTGTCAGTCTCCACCCTAATACAATGGAGGTGACTAGAAATATGTTTCTGCTGCTTGAAACACTGAAAATTACATTTTAAAAATTCAGCAGCAAGATTTTTATAAACTCATGTTTTCATTGTTTTTTTGTTGTTGGGTTTTCATGTGAAAACAACAGTAGTACATTTAGTTTCATATGATAAAAACATTGTGATTTAAATGTTTGCTGCACTTGTATTACTGGAAATGAATCAGTGAAGCTTTATTTATACACCCTCTTTATACAGGAGCATGCAATTCAAAGTGCTTTACACAGACAGTAAATGACAGTAAGGCAGAAGAAAATCAGGTAAAAATGAATAATAAAAACATTTTTAGATATGAAATTATAACAATAAACATAAAAAGTAGATAAATATATGGAAATCTCCCTGGTTGCAAAGAAAGAATATCACTAGTTATGCAAAAGTTTGACAAACCCTGGGCTAATTGCATATTTTGTTGATTCTTTAATAAAAAAGAAAGCAGTTTAAAAATGGTTCTAGTCAAACGTTAACGCGCTGTTACTTTTTATTTTTAACAGTTTAGTGGTGAGGCGTCCTGCTAAGTCTTTACTGAAGTTCACCTTCACTGACACATCGTGTAGGACAGTTAGGATTATTACAGTGATGTGGCAGCGCTTTGTTTTGGCAAATATTTCACTAGCAGATCACAAGCTGCAGCCTACAGTTTGTGATAACTACCTCCTCCGTATTTATCCAGTGTCCACATCTGAACCACGACATCACGACCTTTTCCACCGCTGAGTCCGGCCCAGTTTCACTGAAGGCCGATGTGGCAGAGCCTTTAAGATTTACCATAAACATGTACTGTCTGTGAAAACGACTAGAAACCTGTGGGGGGGGTCCTATGTAGGGGGGTGAGTGGGGGCTCATAACCTGTCCATGAATCACAGTAATCATCCCGGAGCACACCCTGCCGCAGGCGGCTATAATTAGCCGTGTCCCCGCTGCCCAGTGCCTGTGTGCCGCAGCATATGTTGCACCGGAGCGGGGGAGTGGCTGGGGGGGGGCCGCCCGCC